CCCCCCTTTTTTTCACATCTCACCACTGCAGACACGAAACATTCTACAACCCCTGCTTTATCAGGACGTTAACAAAAAAAAACACGATTTCTGTTTCATGCCTCATGAAAATTCAGGTAATAAAACACAAGTTTTTGATCCCTGATGGAATATAAATATTGTAATGTTAATGGTTAATAATAAATGGGAAATGGACATTGAATAACACTTTTCTAGTCGTGTTATCTAAAATTTATTACATATTACCTGCCACTTTCACACACACACACACACACACTTGTCTGTATATGTGTGTGTTTTACATTGACTTCCTTTCATTTCTAAAGCACAACTCTGACCCTTTAACCTGACTACCCCCAGTACTAAACCAGCAGCTTTTTCATAATTCATTATAATGATTTGTTTGGATGACATTACAATGTTTCTTGACATCACAAAGTCTGTCATGATACAATTTTGACTGAATTCACAAGACTGTAATCGATGTGACGAGACATCATGATATTGTTAGATGGGCATATGATAATATGGATCAATGTTTTTGTTTTGACTTGGTTTAAATGAATCATTAATCATTTAATCAATATATCAATGTAGATCAATGTWTTGTTTCAYCCCAGYATAACCCTAAAACCACCATCAATTGCCACCTAATGGTGGTCCACAAGGAGGTTTCTCTGCTCACACCTGATTTCCACGAATGGATGATCAACAGAAKTTGAAGAACTGAATCGCTGAGTCAGCTGTTTCTGAAAAAAACGAGTGAAACATGCGGGATAGCAACCCTCAAAGACCAGGATTGGACACATCTGCCTTAGTTCTAAACTTAACCCCAACCCAAAAACATCATTTGATAATGCAACATGAACTTTGGGCCCCATAAGGAGCAGTGGGTCCATACAAGGTAGTATATTTAGAAAAAAATGGGCTTTATAAGGAAGTAAATGCTAGAACACACACACACACACACACACACACTGATCAGTAGATGAATTAGATGATTAGAGTTCAATGCCTCTTCAGTATGGGGAAGGCAGGTTTGAACCAACAACCTTTTTGTCAACTAACTACCGCCATTCCTCCAGAGCTACAGCCATCCAACATAACAATTGTCCCATTTCAGTCTTCATTTCTCTTTTCTTGAGGTTACACAAAATAAAACACAAGAAAAGATCAGAATATCTTGCATTTATTTATTATTTATTTAGTTATTTAGTGCTCCTTGCTGTATATTTTCTTAAACCTTTGTTTGTAAAATTTGCAAAATGAACATTTTTTATTTGAAGAAATGTTTACAACACAAGTAGATTTGTTCCTCTATATGAATGAAGTGATCCAAGCACTTCCATTGAATAATTAAAATGCATGATGATGTAACATATCAGGAACTTCTAGATAAAGAATCATTAATGAGCAACTAGAAGAAGATTACGGCTCTCCTGGCCCTTTAACTGGGTGTTGCCAGGGAAATGAAGCTGTTCACTCAAACATCAGCCGCACGGTCTACATGAACTCTTCTTATTCCAGCTCATGTGGACACACACACACACACACACACACACACACACACACACACCTTCCAAGTTAGTTCACTTTCCAAGCGATGACTGGTAGACAGAGAAAAATAGGAGAAAGAACACAGTGCTCTGCATTAATAAATGATAAAAAAAATCACTTTAAAGCTAAAAATGGAAGAAAGTTTTTTTGTTGGGCCAATCCCAAAGGGAGAATAGGATAGTATAGTTAAAATTTACATCATGTAATCAACCCTGACATCTAGTGGACACTGAATTGTAGGATTCATGCATATTCTGGGGTTTCTATCTGTCTGTTTCTTTACATAATTTGTATGTTTAAAGCTGCTTCACTCAGGCATCATATGTAGGTTATGGCCTACTTAATGGTTACATAACTACACTTTGAATGTAAGTTTACACAGTTTATCCAGTTGTGAAAGAGGTCATGAAAGGAAAATAATTGATCATATAAATCATTTTATTCCAAACCTTTAGTCTAATTGGAAAAATTAAAAAAATGGTTGTGTTGTAACTTATTGTTTAAATATACTGGGTGAAAAAGGAGTACAAGAGGTGCCACAATACATATTATTGGATGTAATGAAAATTAATGCTTTGTAAGTTGCCTTGGTTTTAAATTTGTGCATCCTTTTGGCCTAAATAGTTCATTTTTGAGTGATTTTTTTTTCTGTGTTACTTATGCATAAACACAAATATTCAGATTTAGACAAATGGGTATTTTTTATTCATTAGATTGCACATTTTAATGAATAGCAGATGCTTCTACACACAGGAGTGGAAAAAAATCAAAGTTATTTAGGTCATTTAAAAATGTAAATGTAAAGATTGTATTTTTGAGTAAAACTTTTCAAATATTTTAGTAGACTGTTTATTCACATGGATAAACGATAGAATAGGCGTTTTACTGAAACTGTACTACATTACCCAAAATCCTTCGGTACTAAAATTGGTYCAAACAGGCCACCGTAGTTGTTGTGTTTTCGAAGAGACCAAGATGGCGAACGATCTGGACCGAGTGCGCATCTCAGCGGCGGAACTTCGAGCTGAAGCTTCGTATTCGGTCAACATTACGGACTGTGGGAAAGGTAAGAGACTCTGAGTCGTGTTTCTGGAAAAGAAAAACACGGTGTAAGAAAAAAAAATCCTAAATGAGAGTAAAACAGCAAACCAAGTTGGCGGAAAGTGACGCAAGGACTGATTTGCTAAGTTTGTACGCAGCTAATGTTAGCGACGAGCTTTGTGCTTRTTTTTGCTCCTCAGTTTGTTTTAATTTCCCCCGCTTAAAACCAAAATCAATTTATTTACCCTCGACTTAACTTGCTGCGTTTAAGTACTACTAAAGTAAAAAAAGTGTGTTCTGYTTAGTTACAATGTTGAACAGAAGCCGGATATTATATTTAAGTTAATCTGTAACATTATTAACTAGTTTATTACCTTCCTATTGAAAATAAAGAATATTTCTCATCGTGAGTTGCCCACATCCTGCCTGCCTTTTATACCGATCAGTAATTTTTACATTTTATTTTATTTTTGAGATTCTAACCAGGTTTTCAGGTAAACTTTATTATTATTTTGTTTGCAACAACTTCAGTGTATTTGTAACGCACATAGTTCTGTTCACTAAAGTAAACATGTCAGTTTTGCAGAATGGGATTGTGAAAAATCTACGCACACACGATTTTTAGTTTTTACAACTATTAGTAACATCTTAAAACTGGAAGTTATTGGATTCAGGGCAGTAAAGGTGTTTTTTATGAGCATGGTTTCACTCCTGTTAGAAAATGAGCAGCCACATTTTGGACCAACCAGTAGCAAAAAGATGACTGATTTATACCTACGTACAAAGAACTGTWAGGATATAAGTGAGAGTAATTGAGCAGGACAAAACTTGGATTCCTTAGATAGAAAAACAGTTTACTGTCAGTAATGACACTTGACTATGTTACATCCTATTTATACTGACAAAAACAACATATAAATAAATTCTTGTGGTTCCTGTCAGCAGTGGTGAGTGTGTACATGTTTATTGGGGCAGCTGCGTGCTAAACATGGACAGGCAGCAGAGGATGGGACCATTACAATTAACTCCACTTAAAACAGCTACTGTATAAGAAACTGTGTAAAGTTAATTAATGCTGCGTTTGTTGATKATATTTTCTTCCATTGCCTTGTCACTTTCTGCAGAGGAGCAACAGGAACTGTATGCTCACAAGCAGCATAARAAGCGTGAAGCAAAACGTCCCGATCTTCAGCGTTACCAACCAGCCSCTGGACACGGACGACGTCACCGGGACAGTGAGGAAGGAGAAAGTGGTCCAAATGACTCCCTGAAACCCAAATTACAACAGTTTGATGAATCGTCTCAGAGTGAGAACAAGGCTGTTTCTGAAAACGTTTTTGAGAGACAAGAATGCACAAACAGTGGGTCGGGCATCAAAAAAATGGAAGAAGACCGAATGAGGGGTGAGGGCGCTAACGTCCAGCCTAAAACAAATGCAAATGATAAAAAAGTGCTCTGTGAAAATGACCGAGAACATCAAGAACCTGCTGAAGCTTCTAAACCTACAAAGAAAACCCGCAAACCTGACAGAGAGTTTTACCAACCTGGGAGTCGCAGGAACAACCTGGGAAAGGACACTGGTGTTCTGGATAAGCCATCCCCCAGGAAACGAGAGCAAAACTCTGAGCCAGAACCTCACTTGAGTACAGGGACAAGGGTGAAAAAATCTGTTCCCACGCAGGGAGGAAAAGGTCAAGTAAAAGCTGTTCAGGAGACCGTAAAACCATCTAATCGCAGTGAGGACACCAGAGACCAAGGAAACCAAAATGTGGAAACACCTGTTGATACGTCAGTGGACAAAATGACAAGCAGAATTGAAAAACTGACCATAGAAGAGAAAGGTAAAACCGAGCATGCAAATAAAAATAGAGGGGGAGAAATCAATAAACAAAGAAGAGGTCAAGCTGAAGAAACCAAGGATGAGGAAGAAAAAGTGGATAAGAAGAGAGAGAAGGGAAGCCGCAGAAGAAGAGGAGTGGAGAGGGAAAAAGAGAAAAACCCTGAATCCAAAAGAGAAGATGAAGCAGCTCGCGTTGGAAAAAACAACCAGAGAAAGCCTGAGAAGGACAAGATGGCTCCAGATGCAGATGGACGAAAAACTGAGAAGGCTAAAGACACACAACAAAGCAAAAGAAAAGATAACGGCAGAGAAAACCGAAAAATAAACAACAACAGCAGCTGCAGAGACGGTGGAAACGATGCTGTAACAGACAGCAATTTAAAGCAAGCAGGAGGACGGGGGGATCGACACAGATCTACGGTAAATACCCCCACGCCGTCCTCAAAACGCTATTCCAAATCTGATATCCGACACTTGCGGAACAGAACTTACAGCAGCAGCTCAGCCAGCAGTGTGACCAGCCAAGATGGTCCCAGGCGTAAGATGGACACGGAGGGGACCAACTGGCCACGCCGTGACCCCGGCCAAAAAAAGAGAGAGACGACGGACAACAACGACGAGAAAAGGAGGCACCTGCAAAGCTGGACGAGCAATAAGGATTCGTCCTCAGAGTCACTAGACCGGATGGGGACGTGTGACCGAGAAGAAGAAAAGAGGCGACGTAGGAGAAGAAGAGGAGATGAAGAAATGAGTACAGAGGGACAAAAAGGGGAGGGTTGGGCATCGAAGTCTAACAAAGTTGGAGGTCGGGGAATCCTAAGGGTTTCTTTAGAAAATCAGTCCAGTAGCGCATCACACGGTGGAGATRCACAGAACCGCAAACAAGCTCCTCGTGGCAGAGGCGGCATCTTGGTGCTTCCAACCCGTACAGACATCTCCAACTCCTCTGAGGTGGGACAGAGGCTTCTCTCTGGTGGGATCAGAGGAGCGGGCAGGAATCGAGGAGGCCGAGGTGGAGGAGTGCGACGATTGTGGGATCCTAACAACCCAGATCAGAAACCAGCTCTTTCCAGCACCCAGACCTCTCAGTATTCATCTATCAAACAGCCCGTTTATCTTCAGACTGGGACCGGGTATGGACAGCTTCACTTTCTGGACACGGATGACGAGGTAGCAGGCAGTCCTCCTGTGGCACAAGGAGAACACTTTCAGTCCCAGCAGGCAGCTGCCATGGCTTACTACAAATTCCAAAACTCTGACAACCCCTACTGCTACCCCCTGTCCAACAGTAGCCCACATAATCCCAACACACCTACCAGCACGCGATACCCTTATCCTTATAATATGGGACCGTACCAAATGGGCCACCCTAATGGCATGTACCCAGGTCCTGGTCCATTCTGTGGGAGCTACAGGGGAGTGGGTTATTCTCAGCCAGGTGTGGGAGGTGGACTGACGCCTGATGAAGCAGAGCAACAAACCAGAGGGGAGCTGGGGAGGCTGCAGAAGGCTGCCGATGCTCACGAGCTTCAGCTCAGCAATCTGCTGTCCAGGGACAGACTGAGTGCTGATGGTCTGGATCGCATGCCCCAGCTCAGGTACACATTTGCCACTTTCTGTCTGTATTTTGTCTCCTCAGTTTTGTGCCATCCCTCTGTGGCTGGACGTAAATCCCACCTTTGTACTTCCTAACCTGTTTTTTTTTTTTAAGATTGGACCTGTTGGAACTGTACGAGCGGATCATCTTGACCGACATCGAGTTTTCTGACTCCCAAAATGTGGATCAGGCTTTGTGGAAGAATGTGTTTTATCAGGTCATTGAGCGTTTCCGGCAGCTACTCAAAGACCCTGCCTGTGATAACCTCTCTGATATCAGGAACATGCTGCTCACACTTCTAGACGAGGTAAGAAACTTGATAGTTTTGCTTGTAAATACCTTAAAATAACTTAACAATCCCTTTGATCTGTTAAACATGCTTCATTTTTTTATCATGTGTAGTATTTAATTTTGTTTTAATAACATTTTTAATTGTAATAAAATCGTAATAACTACAGTGGGATTTTGAATGTAAGGACAATTCTTGTGTCATGCTAATAAGTTAAAAAAGACAAGTTTCTATATATTTTCATTATCTGTTTTACAGGGAGCACTGTTCTTTGACACGCTGCTTCAGAAGCTGCAGACTGTGTACCAGTTCACATTAGAGGACTACATGGATGGGATCGCTATCAGAGCTCGCCCATTACGCAAAACGGTACTTCACCGCTTGTACTTTTGTAAAAATTCCTGTTTTAAAAAATTTAGTTTAGTTTAAGGGTGTGTTCACACCTGCACTGTTTAGTCCGATTTAATCAAACTCTAGTTCGTTKGCCTGGAAAGTCCGGTTCATTTGTAGTAGGGCTGCCAGAAACGATTATTTTTATAATGGATTAATCACCGATTATTTTTTTGATTAGTCGACTAATCGGATCATACGTTAATTGAATATAGAACATAGAGCTTATCGTGCCAGAATGCAGCTGTTATTATATAACCATTGTTAGATTTTAGCTATATGCTAACTAAAATAATTGCTGTGGAAGACAAGTTCTGCTCTGCAGATATTACACAGGTTTCTCTTTCATTTTCTTAAAATGATCCCACACTTTGAGCTCTGTTGTCAGGTAGCTATGATACCAGAGCCTTTCTGTATATAATGTCTTGTGACGTCCACGGCCTACCCCAGTTACCACTACTGTGCATGTGTGTCAAGGACAGAAAGGCAGATGTGGCAGTGGAAGATGTCAAAACAGTTTGGAGAGAAAAACAAAGTAAAGAACAAAAAAAAAAAGAAAACGATTAATCAATTATTAAATTAGTCATCGATTATTTTAATAATCGATTAGTTGTCACCTAATTGACTAATCGTGGCAGCCCTAATTTGTGGAGGTGTGAATGCGTAATCGAGCTCTGATTCTGACCAAAAAAGCGAACTCTGGTCCGCCTGAAAACCTTTGTCTCGGTTCGATTGAAACAAATTCTGGTGCGGTTCGATTGCATGCGTGAATGCTAAGCGGACCAGCGACTGCTCCAAAGGCAGGAAGCAGACTATACTGCATGACATTCTGAGTAATAASAGTATTAAATTTACTTATATGGTGTAAATACCTCGCTGGACGACTGTATAAGGTGGACATCATGGCTGTGGAGCTGGACGCGCTCCTACTCGATTAACACGGAGCTTCCTCAGCCGCCTTCTGTGCAAAACAACATTCTCCGTGGTTCCGCCTCATCTTCCTCTCATGCTGAGCTCATTGTTGGAGACTATTTGTTTAGCACATTTGCCAAAAACAAAAAAATAAACCCTAYAACCACTAAAATGTAACGTTACTACTGTTTGTTTACATTTTGTGAAGAAGGAAGTTGCGCTCCATGTCTTCTTCTGAGGTTTTGATGTTGATTCCTTTAGTGGTTCTTTGTGCAGCGCCCCCACAGGTGAGGGAGGGAACAGGTTKTTTACAGGGTTTWGTTCGGTTGAGAAMGTGCAGTGTGAATTCAAACCGCACCAACAGAAAATGTAAACAAAGCTTGCAGTTTTGGTCCCCARTCRAACCGAGTCTACCGGACTATCAGGTGTGAATACRACCTAATATTATATTTGACCTTATTTCTGTTCAAAGGTAACACGTTTTTGTGTATTTRTGTGACTTGTGGCTTCCAGGTAAAATATGCCCTCATTAGTGCGCAGCGCTGTATGATTTGTCAGGGAGATATTGCACGATATCGGGAACAAGCCACCAACTCTGCTAACTATGGAAAGGCTCGCAGGTAAGCTGTTGTTTCAGGAGGATTTCCTTTAATCTTCAAATTCTTAAAATGCATGTATAACAAAAACTCTAATTTTCTGTATTTGTTCTCTGATGTGTAAAATTAATATCAGACTATTTTGTCATTGTTTGGTATTGATCACAGTTCGTACWCATAGTTATGCTGAATATGATTAGCAGTTGCTACAGTGCGTCCATTTAGCCACGGCAAATCAGACTTTTTTTATGACTGGTTTGAAACACAGTACAACACTTTTGCCTTTGCTAGAAGTTTTTTTTAACCTGACAGGGACAGTAGAASTCATGGCTTTTGAATCCCAAACTTAACTTGAGAAATAAACAGCTGGTCCCAAAAACAAACAAGTAAAAACACAATTTCTTACGTTCGTGCCACAGAGCACACCAACCCTACTGTGGTCTGAATATCTACTATAAAGTTGCTATTTAACTGGTTGTAATATTGCATTTCTTAAAACAGAACTAATTATTTAAATGTTTTGGCTGTACTTGACAAAWTGGATAAGAACTTACTTGAAGGTGGGACCTAAATATTTCATGTCATGACTTCATACTTTGATTTTTATCTTAGCTGGTACCTGAAAGCCCAACAGATCGCCCCCAAAAATGGACGACCRTATAACCAGCTGGCTCTGTTGGCAGTTTATACAGTAAGTGTTTATAAATACTGTTTCTAAACTGAGGCTCGGAGATTCAAGTCATTTCATTTTTAAATGTAGGGTTCTACACTAATGTACGACGGCGTATTAGGGCCACACAACAAGATATTTTTTATTATTTAAACTACGAGAATAAAGTCATAATATTACGACATTAAAGTCGTATAAAATAAAGTCACAATATTATGAGAATAAAGTTGTAATATTACAAAATTAAAGTGGTAATATATTACGAGATTAAAGTGGTAATATATTACGAGATTAAAGTCATAATATTACGTCATTAAAGTCATATAAAAATAAAGTCGTAATATTATGAGAATAAAGTTGTAATATTACAATACTAAAGTTGTAATATTACGAGTTTAAAGTCATAATATTACTGATTATTATCTCGTAATAATAATAAAAAAAATCTCGTTGTGTGGCCCTAATACTTCGTCGTACTAATGTGATGGATCTCAGTGTTTATTTAAAAAAAAAATTTCAGCAGTAGTTACAAAATTTTAATTAGCTTTAAATGCTAGAGTAGCAGCAAGTTAAAGAAAATCATTTTATGCCATGATTACCTTGTGATTTGTAGTCAAATATGTTAAATTTAATTGGTACGTATGTGTTTCTGGATGTTTCTTTGATTATTTTTATATGTGGTTTGTAAATGTTGATTTTCCAGCTGTTTTACGTGTTGGCCCCGTGTGATCATTTGCTGCGGCGCTAAAAAAAAGATATCAATAAAGTCATTAATTCAGTTTGTAATTTACCAATGTTAAAAGGTCAGAATGTTTGCTGTGTAAAAGGTCTGTTAGGTAAATGGCTTTGGCCTTTTTCGTGATTGATTATTTTACATCAAGACATGGAACAAATGAAAACTACAACTGTAGTATGAGTAATGATTTGTCAGCACTCAACCCTAGACTTTTTGTTTTGTTTTTTTAACCCTTTTCWTTCTCTGACCTACAGAAGCGGAAGTTAGACGCTGTGTATTATTATATGCGCAGTTTGGCAGCTTCCAACCCCATTCTGACTGCAAAAGAAAGCCTGATGAGTTTGTTTGAGGAAGCCAAGCGTAAGGTAAGATCCACACTTTGTGCCAACTGACAGCGAAGACTTGTAACAAGACCCTGATTCTGACATAATGCAACAACTCTGACAGTAGAGCAAACAGAAAACAACAGTACAGCACAGTTCGGTGTTTAAGGTTTGAAGGAAAGTATTAATCTTATACTTTTTAATAACTTTGTTTCTGGTATATTAAATACCCTTTCAGGCTTAAAAAAAAGTTTAATTGTTTACCTTCTGCTCCAGATGACTGAATGAATATTACCTGCCACTCACAGTATTTTCATTCATATTCATATCACCAGACATTTTATTTATCATACAAAGTATGCTGAAAGAAAAGTGTCACGTTCTAAAACTTTGCAGTGTTTAATGGCTCATAAATTTATACATATTTCCAATTTATAATTTTATTTTCTGGATGCAAAATGTCTGATTTCAATAAATGACGAGGAAAAATCTCTTGTTTAAATGCAGAGTTGGAGAACATCTCTTTGCAGCAGTAAAACTTTAAACTCTGGATGGAAATAAAAGTCTGCCACAGTAAATATTAGGGGTGCAACGATACAGAAAATTCACGATTCGGTTCATTTCAGTACTTTAGTC